AAACCGGAAGTGGCGCTGTAGCTCAAGTGGTAGAGTGCTCGCCTTGAGCTGAAGAGCTGAGGGACAGCGCCCAGGCCCAGGGTTCAAGCCCCACGACTGACAAAAAAAAAAAAAAGAGTTATGGTTAATATGCCAAGAATCCCTCTTTCATCTGGACCCCCTTTGCCAAATTCGATGTGAGAAGAGGGCTAGGTAGAGGACAGAAGCTCTCAAAATGGGTGAAAACATGGTGCCTTGAGTAGGCTTGGTAGTGCCCACCTGCAGTCACATCCACCGCTAGGCAGAAGCAGGAGCACTGGAAATTCAAGAGTAGCCCAGGCAAAGTTAGGAAAATCCCAGCTCAGAAACGAACTATAAACAAAAGGGATGGGGTCATCCCTTATTTAGCAAGCTAGAAGACCTGGGTGTATTCCCCAGTACTGAAAACAACAACAACAACAACCCATACTGTCTTGACACTAACAGCCCTCGACACAAACGGAGCACCATCCTGGTGTTCCTATACCAGGGCTCTTTCTCCACTCCAAGCACGAACGTAGATGCGTGCTAACACGATTACTCTCCTCCTAGCTCTTTGCTTGGTATTTGTCTTTTCTCCTTCTCCCGGTAAAGGGGACCACATTAATTAAGACATCGAAAGGTAAAAGGATTTGGTGTCTTCACAATGGGAAATGGTGTGTCTGAACTCAAGTTTTAATGCTGAAAGCCGCCATTTGGAGAGTGTCTTAATCTGGCCTGTGATCAGCAGAGGATTAGGGTTTCTTCCTGTGGACTATTTTGGCTCAAGTGTCATAATCTAATAAACTTCCTCACTATTGCTTGGTAATACCCATACTAATAAATCACACTGACTGAACAAAACCAATTTCTCAGTGGATTTTGTCAAGACTCTTCAATGCTTGCTTTCTTTTGAGTATTATGAATGGATTACAGTTGAATTGTTATTTATTTTGCTTTACTTTGCTTGAAGTTACCTTTTTTTTTCCTCCCCAACAATCAAGAGCAAAAGTTTTTGTGCCTGTACTGGAAATAGAACTAGAACTTAAGACCTTTATTTTTGCTCATCGGGTGCTCTACTTCTGGCTTTTTATTGGTTAATTAGAGATAAGAGTCTCACAGACTTTTCTACCTGGGCTAGCTTCAAACCATGATCCTCAAATCACAGCCTCTCGAGTAGCAAGGATTACAGGCATGAGCTACCAGTGCCCCGCCAAGAGCAAAATTTTAAAGTTACTATCTTCTGATTCTTTTCTGTTTTGTGATGTCTCTAAAAGGCACCATTATACCTCACTGGACCTTTTGGAACACTGTGCTCAGATTGCCTCTTTAAAAGAAGTCATTTCAGTTAGCAAACTTCACAAAGTTGACCCTCATAGCCCACAGCATGGACAATGTGGCAAGGTCTATGTTATCGTGGAAGTGTTCATAGCAACACAGCACATTGTTAACTTGAAAATTTTAATTTGCAATTTTCAGAATTTCCATTTCTCTTATTACAGAAGTGGAGAAGTCAGAATGTGTTAGCTAACTACTCACGCACACACACAAACAGATGGACCGTTATCAATATTGCCACTGGACTGGGAGAATGGCCAGTCAGGAAATGCACCCCCCAGGCTTCCCTTCCTCTTTCTCTGCCTGTGCTTGGGCACGTGTGACTACCTGTGGGCCCACAGGGTCCTGAGCGACGACGTTTCTCTGCTTGTTCTTTCAGAGCTCTAAGCTGAAAGGCTATCAGAAAAGGGACGTGACACTGGGTGGCCTGGGACCCGACCTGGAGTCCGTCAGAGACAAAGTGAGTGAAATGCACACGGTGTTTTCATTCCTGACTCGGCCCATCTGCCCTGTAGGGACACTGACCCAAGGTGGCCCTCAGCGTCAAGCTCCCTGTCACCGTCCTCCCTGAACAGACCCTCAGTGATTCCTACTGCAAATAATCATGCCTGGCCAGTATTCTTTCATGCACGCACCTTTCCGTGACACGTGAGAGCCTGCAGTAGAGAGTCGGCACACGCAGGTGGCCTCGGATGCGTGCGTTCGTGCGGTCTGGGTCTCTCCTGATAGTGTTCTTGATGGGTCTGAAGTAGCCACAGAGTGGACCTTTCCGGAGCAAGTTCCCCAGCCCCTGAGCGGGGCAGCCTCTTCACCACTCTGCTCGAGCGGAAGGAGACCCCCCTTTAATGTGTTCTCACTGCAGCTGCCTCAGGCATACAGAGTGTGCAAGCAAACATGGAAATAAATTGAGTAAATACAACCGCAAAAGGGAGGTGAATGGGATTCAGCTTCGGTTCAGGGGACACGGCGCACGCCCCGGGGTGCGGCCCTCAGCACAGGGGACCACGCTGTCACCTCACTCCCGGCCAGGCCACCTCTCCTGAGCCGTTGATGTAGCCTCAGAGAGAGCCGAGCAGGCCCTGTGACTCCTCGTAGCTGTGTTTCCCTGAACAGATGCAGAAGTTGGTGCAGCAGAAGGAGTATGCGAGGCAAGTGAAGGAGTACAACATGAAGACATTCCCTGCTCCGTCCAAACCGCAGACCGCGAAGACGGAAAACAAGCCAGCTCCCCCCAGGCACAAGGTCAGTCATTGCGAGCGGGAGGTGGCTGTCACCTCTTACCCCACGTATTTGGAAGGCAGGAGATACTTCAGTAACTGCCATGTCTGTGCTCACTATCACCAGATGGTGAGGGAATTGCCCCCCCCACACACACACACTATTCTGCAAAGTTAACTTGCTTGTTTTCCCCAAGTTCATTATCAGCACATCTTTTCTTCCAAGTACAGAATTTTAGGATATCACACATAAAAAAGCAACAGAGTGATTTCTTAGAAGAAACTAGCAATCCTGATTGACTACCCATTCCATTCCCCATCATTCACTAAGTTTCAAGGAAGTTAATGTCTCCTGGCGGTTCACGTCCAGAAGGTCATTGCTGTTCCACTCACGTTCACCCCGCCTTCCCGGTAGAGCTCGCGGTATAAAGGCTTCTCTAGTGAAGATAAGATCTCAAGAAATACAGAATGTTCTTCCTCTCAGATGTCATCTATCCTACCCGGGGAGGTGAAGGAAACATGTCCTGTCCAAACCACGGTGGGCACAGGAGTCTCTCCGTCAGGATGAGTGGCCCTGGGGTCTCTCCGTCAGGGATGAGTGGCCCTGGGGTCTCGGAGTGTGGGCTCCGCATCCCTCTCACAGCCACGCACATCTTCTTCCTCAGACCTGAAGACCTCAGTCCTCCCCGCTGAGTTTCCATCCTGTCACTTTTTCTTTTTCCCTCTATTCCATTATATTTTCGGAAGAACATCAAGGCAACAAGTATACTATTAGAAATTACTATACAGGGCTGGGAAGGTGGCTCAGTGGTAGAGCACTTGCCTTGCATTCATGAGACCCTGGGTTCCATTCCTCAGCACCACATAAGCAGAACAAGCTGGAAGTGGCGCTGTGGCTCAAGTGGTAGAGCGCTAGCCTTGAGCTGAAGAGTTGAGGGACAGCGCCCAGGCCCAGAGTTCAGGCCCCATGACTGACAAAAAAAAAAGAAAGAAAGAAAGAAATTACTATACATTTCACCTATGCACTGAAAAGTGAAAAGTTTGGACTCTTTCCCTATGTTTTAGAGGTTTTTTTTCTATCTATTTATTCTATTTACTCTCTATTTACTATCTAGTCCTACTTCAGCTATAGACAAATGCTTATTAAAATATAAAACTCAGCTGGGCATTGGTAGCTCATGCCTGTGATCCTAGCTACTCAGGAGGCTGAGATCTGAGGATCGCAGTTCAAAGCCAGGCCAACAGAAAAGTCCCCATGAGACTCATCTCCAGTTAACCACTCAAAGAACCAGGAGTGGCACTGTGGCTCAAGTGGTAGAGTGCTAGCCTTGAGCACAGAGAGGCTCAGGGACAGTGCCCAGGCCCCGAGTTCAACTGCCAAAATATTATATATATACAATAAACATAAATATTTATGTTTAGCACATATAAATATATATATATATATATCTCATATAAAGGCAGATTAGACATCATATTTAGTGGTCCTGATAGCATGCATACACATTGTTGAGAGCCGGAGTCTCAGGAACAGGAGGTGAGCACTGTCCAGCCCAGCTGGTCTTGTTCTGTCATGAATGAGACAGCCCTACCACTTGAACCACAGCGCCACTTCCAGCTTTTTTCTTTTTTTTGCCTATGTGGTGCTGAGGAATGGAACCCAGGGCCTCATGCATGCAAGGCAAGCGCTCTACCACTGAGCCACCTTCCCAGCCCCCATGAGTACATTTCTTATCCAGCATTGTTGCCTCCTGCTTTGTTTTTCCCCTACCATCCCATCCCTCCCACCCCTCAACTACACCCCCTACCCCCACCCCCAGCATTTAGGTTTCTATAGATAGACTAAAGAAGAAAAAAAAATCAACTTCTTTTTCTGGAGTTCTAAGAGCTTGGGAACAATAAAACACAAGGTTCACCCATTGCAGTGATGTCTTCCATCTCCAGCTATCCCAAGTCCTCTTTGGGTAAAAATGTCTGTTGATAGCTCATCAGAACAAGTGTGGCTTTAATAAGACTGTCAAAGACTAAGTAAATACGTAAGAAATCTACTTCCTAACAATGAAGGAAATTCAGTCTTACGAAGAAGATATCCAAAGGGCCTATCTATCATTCTGACTCCTTTTTCTCCACAATGTATTGTCTAGAGGCTAGTCAATTCTGTTCAAACTGTGCACTGTACCTCACTATTTGCATTTTCCATTTGACTTGTTTCCACCCTCATCCCAGCACCATCTCCATTTATATTCTAAACGTTTCCTAAGACCAGCTTTAGCTTGAGGAATCCAAGACTTGGTTGCCATTTTCAATGAAAGTTTCTCTGTACGCTTCTAGGCTCTGGAATATGCAAAGACCATCCCCAAACCCAAACCTCCAAATCTGACAGACCAGGGAAGCAAGAAAAAGACGAAAGCAACCCATGGCGAGAAAGAAGAAGGCCTCCCTGAAATCTCACTGCTGGAGATCTTGCAGAGCAGGCATGAGAGAGAGAAGCAGGCCGTGGCTGCCTTCAAAGTCCTCCACATTGTCTAGACACCATTTGGTGGGAACCAAAGGTGCTCTGAGCCCGACATGGAGAGAGGAAGTGCCAGCCACGCCCCTGCAGTGAGAGTGGCCATCGGTCCTGTCCTCCACCCCGCCGCAGCCCTGCGTGCTTTGTGTAGGATTTCATTCTGGGGTCTGGTCAGAGAATGGTACCATGCTTTATTTCCTGGGGAAAGAGCGTTTTTATTTATTTTTCAGGCCAGTTTAAATTTAGGCTGATAACCAGAAAATAAAGCCATTGATTTCATACTGGATCTGTCAATGTCTTAAATTATCTCCACCCTTTCTTAGTCCCTGAAAAATAAATTTACCTACTTGTGTCCCTTTCCTACATCCCTGCTAAACACTTCTATTTCCCTTAAGATGATCTCATCTGGGACCAACCACCAATGAATTCTGAGATAACATTTCAAAATTATTACTTGAATCTCCAAGTTCAGCAAGAAACATATATGTACAATTGAAAGAATTGAAAATGCATCTAGATGTCCCTTCTGAAATGGAACACATCAAATGTTGCTCTAATAGAGCATCAAGACATTTGTTACGCATCCTCCAACACACCAAGAAACTCTCACCACAGACAGCCGTGAGAGACGGCTCCACAAAGCCTCGCGCCAGTGTGTGTGCTGACTGGCATCTCCCATCACCACAAACAGCCTAACACAAACAAAATGTTACGTAAGATAAGCCTATATCATGGTGTATTACTATGTTTAAATGTGAATCAAAATTTTTCTCATTACCTTTAGAAATATTATTACAACTCCCAGTCTTCATTACCAGAAGACTTCCTTCTATGGGCGTATCCAGAAATGGTTCATTTTAACAATGATTTGTGGCATATCTGCTTCTCTTTGTACATGCGGCAGGAGACCTTGCTTTGGAAACTCACTTGTGTGTTGTGTACCTTCGTCGTGATGTGATAGAAAGCTCCCTGCACCTAACTTTGTCTGAAAATTAGAAGCCGTGAGAACTGGTGGTCTGGGAACTGTTTGGTCATTTGTCTGTGGAATGAGGATGTTCTTATTTCTCCGGGCTGGTAAGGAACATGGAATTATAGTGGATTTCAACGTGGGACCTACATTTCCACTGTTTAATTTTTGGAAGTATGTGTGGCCATGTGCCTGACACATGCCTTCACACACTGATAAAGTTGGACTAGACGTAGGAAGAAGAATGTTCAGCAATAAAACATTTTTTTACAGGATACTTGCCATCGCAAGCTTTTTGGCAAGCCTGTACCAGGTAAATCTTCCCAGCTCTGTGACACGCAGTACCTTCAACGCCCAGCACTCAGCTGAAGCAGTTGAAGTGAGCTGATGTCACACAACTCTTCGCAGAATCCTTCCCCCAAGCCACACCCAGACATGAAATCCTAAGCGTCCCCATTCCTTATACAGTGCCAGGTGGTATCTAAAAGGACTTTAGCTAAAGAAAGACAAGACACTTACTAGTTGAGAGCCTGGGGTTTATAGGCTGACACCTGGATACATACAGTTGGTAGCCAGCCCAGATAGAAAAGTCCAAGAGACACCATTTCCAATTAACCAACAAAATGCTAGACTAGAGGCAGGGCCCAAGTGGTAGAGCACCATCTATGAGCAAGAAAATTGAGCAAGCACAAGTGCCATAAGTTGAAGCCTACATATTGGCATATGCTTGCATGTGTGCATGCATCTGCACACACACACACACACACACACAAATTGCTCTAACTTAGGGATTGAAATTGAAGAATGAATCAAAATGGCCCTTTGTGAGGCTCCAAGACATTTTACAATAGAATGATCTTTTTCTTTTTTCTTTCTTTTTTTTTTTTTGCCAGTCCTGGGGCTTTGAACTCAGGGCCTGGGCCCTGTCTCTGAGCTCCTTTTGCTCAAGGTTAGCACTCTACCACTTGAGTCACACAGTGCCACTTCTGGCTTTTTCTGTTTATGTGGTACTGAGGAATTGAACCCAGGGCCTCATGCATGCTAGGCAAGCACTCTACCACTAAGCTACCTTCCCAGCCCCAATACAATGATCTTGAATAATGTCACAAGCTACCATAGATATCCCCAAGATCAGGATATTCTGCATAGCAAATGGAAAATACTTTTTTGCTTCTTTAAATTGTACTTAATGACAACAACATGGATCTGTTAGAAACCCAGCTTTATGACATTTCTGTTTGCGATACTCAGCAAAGTATGATGAGGAAAGGCTTGCCTCTGGCCCAATGTTATCTAAGCCATTGAAAGCCATGGGATAAAGTCCCCCTAATCTCTGAGTTGGTACAAATAAAGGTCCTTTAAGCCATGTATGCTCTCTTATTACCGTCTCCTTTTACAGTGATGTTTCTATCTTGAGTTTTCAACAAGAGCATCCTCTTAAAAGGAGCTTTTATTTCCCTTTTTTACAAGTAGCTGAATTTAATGACAGCTGTCTTCTTGATTTTGTTTTCTATAGTAAGGAGTCTCTTGGGAGTTATCCAGAAACCAAGTCAAGCAAAGACAATATTGAGGAACAAAATAAAAGGTAAGCCTAGCAAAGGCAGAGATGCCTAATGGTTCCAATTGGGGCCTTATTATTGGTTAATGAATCATTGTCAAAACATCACGGCAAGCACGAGCGTGCCCAGTCCAGTCTATAGTGAGAAAATGACTCTTCATCCCAACAGTTATTAACTGGGAGTTGTTTGAAAACACGTCCAGTAATTATAACAACACTGTAGCTAATTGAGAACTTGGAGTTGATAGCAAATGGCTTACAATAGCAGACTACATCAACTCAGGAGGGGATTCTTTTCTAATTACTTATTGAAAAATAGCAGAAAAATGAAATTGAATTTGAGTGATAGTCTTCAGGTATCAAGACAAGTATAGCTAGTATAAAATATCTTGGAGAGATTTAGCATATTTTTTACCATATTAAAAGTGACATTTAACAATTAAAAAGGTTTTAAGGTTTGTTTGGGTTTTTTTAATGCTGGTCCTGGAGCTTGAACTCAGGTCCTGGGCACTGTCCTTGAGCCTCTCTGTGCTCAAGGCTAGCACTTATCCTGGAGCCACAGCACCACTTCCAGCTTTTTCTGAGTATGCAGTACTGAGGAATGGAACCCAGGGCTTCATGCATGCTAGGAAAGCACTCTACCCCGAAGCCACATTCCCAGCCCCAAATGTCTCAATTTCTTAAGCGAATAGCTGGCCAATGGGAAACCAAAGGCTTTTGATGCCAAACTTTCCTTCTTTCCCTCACTTATTCACTCCCTAAATCACTCCCTGGTTTGAAAGGATCCCATTATTCATGTTAGGTTATGTAATTTTGGCTCAGTAATATAAGTAGAAAGTTGGTAGGCCTTCCTAAAATGTTATAAAGGCAATACAGTGCAAAATGCAATACGAAGCGAAATGCGTAGTGTTTTCCCCAGACCTCTTTCTTTGGCCATACCGAGGCTCCATGGAGAGCATGGATGGGTGGTCAGGCTCACCTCCCCTGCCGCCTCTCCGTAGCTGCTTCATCTCCCCCCGGCAAACCCGGGTAACATAAGCAATTAATTTTCAATAAGCTTGAATAAATGGTCCTCTGCTATTAAATAACTCTAACGGGTTGTGAGGATCAGAGCCATGTGTACATTCCAGGCACACGGGAGTCTCGGAGACCTGGAAATGTCTGATAAGATTTCACCATGCCTTCTATTAAAGTGGCGAATCACAGAGCAGCCTGGTCCTCAGGCACCCTTGCTCACCCGGCTCCAGACTTCCACAACAGGTGTTTCAAGAACTCGCTGTACCTAGGGTACAGACGGGATAGTCAGGAAAACCACTGCCAGGAAATTAAAGTGCAGAATGTATAATTATTAGTCCTTCGGGAAGCTATCCACACAGAAAACCACCATGGAAAAAACCAGTAGAGGTCTCTGGATAGTACATAATAATCTTTTGGACCTTAAATGTACTTTCTCTCTTGATGGTCAGCTCACCAAACAGCTCCCATATTTTCCAGCAACCCTACATTTATCAAAACTAATATGAGGAAGCCCGTCCATTCCTCCTCCTACCTGCCCCACGCCGGCCCCGCAGCGAGGCCTGCCCCATCTCCCCTGAATCCACACAATAGTGACACTTTGAAGTCGGACAGATGAGGTCCCTAAATTTGTTGCCTCTGCTTAAAATTGATCATCCTTGTGTTACAAACCTCGAGCACCTATTTTGAATAAAAGCTTTAGATGAATATCAAAGAATTATTTAGCCACATCTAATATTTTAATTAGATTATAGTCTCAATTTAACCCATTAAGTCTCCTTTGATGATCCTGTTCTTAGTGGTTAGCCTCAGATGCACGAGGTAATGAATACTGGACCTTTTGATTTAATGAGAATTTCGGCTGTTCCAGCCTGCACCTCTTTGTGTACCTTTTATTTTGCTGGCCATAGAATCCTGTTAATTGAAGGGGTCTCTCACCGTCACGCATTAAGGAGTATAAATTAGCATCCCTATTCTAATTGGAAAATGCAAGCAGACGGTTCTGCTTTGATGTGAGGATTGAGCTGAGGAAGGCAGCAGCCCCCTGAAAATGAGCTGATGGCCTTGTTATGGGGCAAAATACAACTGTGTCCATGTGTCACAAAACGCTTAATGTCTTAATTGGTCACCTTCCAGTTCTGCCCTTCCTGCTCGCGTCCTGTCTCTGCCAGCCCGTCTATAATGTGCGTATGTAAATGTCGGGGGGGGGGCACAGAGCAGGGGCGTTGGCTGCTTGTCTGTTTTTCCTTTCTCTGTTTCTCTCCATGCCTCCATCAGGTGCCCTGGTTTTAAATTCATCTGAGTCCAAGGAAAATGAAATGTAGCTACCCCTCAGAACCAAAGAGGGGGGTGGGTTCCAGACCACCCACATACGTGCACTAGCTACGCAAGTCCTTCCCGTACATGGCCAAGTATTCATGTACAGCCACTGCACAGCCTCTAGATCACTATAACACCAACCGCAAGGCGGGTGCTCTGTGAACAGTTGCTACATTGTGTTGTTTAGAGAACAATGGCAAGAAAATAAGGCATGTGTAGTACAGAAGCCCTGCGTGTGTTCGTTTGTTTCCCATTATTTTCAGTAGGCAGTTAGTTGAATTCGTAGATACAAAACACTGGCCTGCTCTGGCCAATGGAGAGCCAGTGATAACCTCAGTTCCCTCACCTGGAAATT